TCTCCAAAGTTGGTGGATCGTATGCCTGAAATCCTGGCTCTCGGCAGTGGTGCAATTGAAGTACTACACACACGACACTTGTTGTACATTTCTTCATACTTCTCATAAACAGAGTCAGGAAGTCCTAACATGGAAGTCCTTCGTCTGAATTGAGTAGGAGACATGTGATAGTGTTTGATGTGAAGTTTGTAAAGTTCCACACTATCCTCCAGTTTCCTGAGCATCTTTCTGTATGCTGGTGTCATGGCTTGCACTTCACTACCAGGCAGTGGAATTGAAACTCGCCTAGGCTCAAGAGCATCACTACCTAGTTTCTCAACTTGACTTTCTGAATCTTGCTTACCACGGTTGCGCGCAGGTGCAGAAGGTTTTGGTTCAATGACTCGAGGTTCATCTGAATCAATCTTGTCCAAACCTAATTCCCTAGCTCTTATGTCAAGTTCATCTTCCTCATCAAGCTTGGGATAGGAGACAACAACCTTCTTTCTTGATGAACCTGATTGAGAGTCATCGACAACATGAGGTTTCTGCTTACCTACGTGTCTCTTGGCTGCAGGTGGACCTACCTCAATCTTTTTCGAGCTTGGTCCTTTCGAAATCGGTTTGCCTACCTCCTTCTGTGAGGAGCGTGGCTTCTTCTTCTGTACACCTGATGGCACTGAAGAGGCTGACTCAGGGTGAAAAAGTTCATCAATGTTTCCATGAAAGGGCTTTGCACGATCAATGTCACTTCTGACAATGTCCTCTGGGATCACGTAGTCCTCCTTGATCTTGTAGATGGTCTTGCCCTTCCAGAACTCTTCACTCTGTTCAGAAAACCTCTTCCTTTCTGTGCGCCAGTTGTCCTTGTGAAGAACCTTCTTCTTGCTCTTCTGGAACTCTTGGTGTGTTTCTCTCTCATCAAGAAGTTGTTCTTTTGGAATTGGAGTCTCTTCTGATCGATTCATCTCATGTAGGTTTCTCCTCTTGTCCTTGTGGTGCCTGATGAGTTCACGACGTAGTGGATCAACTTGCCAATAGTCACCAGTCACCAAAGCTTCTTCTTCATGAACATCTTGTTTGACAGCAATCTGACTGTACTCAAAGTGATCGTGTTGTGAAAAGAAACTCTTGACTTGAGGAGTCTTGAAATGAACTTGGCTCATGTACCATGCTACATCTTGTAAGTCGAGAATGAGATGAGTACTGACGGCTGTCTTCAAAACCATTTTTCTCATGCCAATACGTGCACAGGACAAATAAGCCTTCTCTGGAGTAAGTTCAAATTGAAATCCAAGGTTTCTCATCTGTGGAAGTGACATCAACAATGGGACATCACCTTCTTCGACAATGTCGAATTCTGTGAACTGAGTGTTCCATCCATGATCATACATGAATATCACGAGCTTCTCAGTACATTTGGATTGTTGTGAATTTGCAAAGAAGAATCTTGAACTTGTTGGCTGAATTTCATACCAGAGTCCACTGTTGGGATGTGAGTCAACATATCTGCAAAATGCTTCAACTGCTCGTCGAGAACCCATAGCTCTTGTGCATCCAAGATCCAAGATACATACAGTTGGTGGTGCAGAATTCTCTGTGTGAAAAGCTAGTCCTTTCTCACATGCCAGATCAGTCTGTCCAGTATGAAATGAAAAAGCACTCTGCTGTGATGGTACCTCTATCTCTGTAGAGCATCCATATGATAACAATGCTGTGCCTTTTGCCAATGGCTTCCATGAAGCCTCACCTTCTTGAAGACCAACTTGCCTGGGCACTCGAGCTGGACGTGGTCGTACACCTTGTCGAAGGGCATCAACTTCTCCAACCAGAACAGGGAATCTCTTCATTTCTCTCCTGTTTTGATGTGCTGTTGCATCACGTTGGTTCTGTCCTCCACGACGAGTGCGTCGTTGTACTTCTTGTTGTTCATACGTGGATGTCAAAACATCAACACGTGCTGGCTCTGTCTCTCCAACATCAACACGTAATGGTTCAGTTCTTCCAAATGAAAAGAAACCATGACCAGAACTTGATGCAGCAGAAGAAAAATGAGCTTGTTGAGTTTGTTGATTCTGTATGGCAGGACTTGATGTGGATTGAGGTTGAACATAGTTCGACTTGCCTTTTCCATCTCCTGGCTTTCCTCCTTTGCCATCATCATCCTTGCCTTTCTTGCCTTTCTTGCATTTCTTTCCTTTTCCTTTTCCTTTCCTCTGGAAGTATCCATACTCATCCATGTAGTACAGATCATCATAGGCCCAATAGCCTTCATTCCAGGTTTGATCATCGGCCCAATAGCCGTCATAGTTTTCATTCCATTCTTCTTCTTGCCAATCTTCTTCGTAACCTTCTTCACTCACCATGTGAGCACGGCCTTTCCTTCTTCCTTTTCCTCGGCCTTTTCCTTTCCTTGATCTGAAGAACCTTCGTCCTCCTCTGCCTTTTCCTTTTCCTTTTCTCTTTCCTTTACCTTTGCCTCGTCTGATGTGTTTGCCTTGGAACCTTCTCTGATACCATGTGTAGTCAGCGTCATCATATACCCAGAAAACATCTTCTAAAGCATCCAGGAATCCTTCTGCGCCGTCTTCATCATCTTCGGCCCAATAGCCGTCGGTTCCTTCTAAATCACCTTCATCCAGTACGAGGAAAGATCTTCTCTGTGCCATGCCAGAGGGTTGCATCAATGGATTGTCAACTGCTGTTTTGGTAGCGCAAAACATTCCAAAAACAGATCACGTAGTTCTTGAATGTTGTATCGATCGAGGGTTCGTCCACGATGTGTCATGATACTTGTGAGTGTGTTTCTCTGATCCTGTGTCAGGTCTGCTAGACTTACAAAAGTCAATGCTAGCAAATTTTCACCCAGTGGGAATGCTTGTCTCTGAATTTGTCTACGATGTTCTTGATACTGTTTGAATGCCACCAATGCCAGTTCATCCGACCAAGGAACAGGTACATGAGGAGCTGTTCCTGAGGCTGCTGCTACTTCAGCTCTTTCTTGTTGATCTCGATCATGTTCTTGACGTTTTTGTGCAACAAACAGGATTGCTTCAGGACTAGTCACTGTTGCTTCTGGAAGTAAATCCATCCAAGACTCAAAGTCTATTGCCAGTGAGTTGAAATCTAGTCATCCACTTCTGAAGATCCATAGTTCCTCTGTTGTACTTCATGAACTGCATGAAACGGTATAAAAAACACGTTTTGGGCACCTTTGATGAAATGAGGTCGTAGAAATCTTTTGAAATAGTTCACTCCTTCCTGGGGATCCCTGAGCATCTCTCTATCCAATAGCCTCTTGTATTGTTGAGCATCTCCTTCCAGTCGATTGCGCAAGGCTGGACCACGTTTCTCAGGTTCTAACTCCGTGATGTCACACCAGTCATCAATTGCATCCTCAAAAGAAAAGAAACTAGTTCTCCCATCATATGCTGGAGCTACCTTTGTGGTCATTTGTTGCGTCATGTGAATCTGTGTCTGCTGGGGTGCTCTTCTCATTGCATAAGAGTCATATTGGTTCCATTCATCTGCATCGACAATGTCGAAGTCATCATCATCATAGCCATGGCTTGCCATTGCTTGGGCTCTACCTGGAGCTCACCCTCAATGAGGGATCACAGCTCCGCTACCACTTGAAGAGGGGCCCTAGCGTCTACTTCAAGATCAGCTAAGGCGTCTTCCCCAATGACAGCACTCTTTTACTCAGCCTGTTGCCGGTCAGTGCTATGTCTACAGGGTTATTCTATATACCTCTTGAGCCTTGAAGGGCGCATATAAATGCGCTCAATACTCATGCATGTACCTCTGTAGGTATTAGGTCGAAACAAAAACAAGGGCGCAGCGCCTCCCCCCCAAAGCAGATTGGAAACACCTATTTTCACATGCAAGGTGCTAGGTTGAATGTGATACTCAAGGTGTATATACTACACGACATGCACCTTGGAAACCTGTGGAATGTAGGTTAAGGCACAACGATGCACAATAGTTTCATTTGATGTTATCATCGAGTTGGTTTAAGATCTATTTATATAAGGTTTGGTTCAGGGTTGGCTTGGGGTTTGAATATCATCCGGATGATAATGCAAACCTTTTAGATATATATATATATACATATATATATATATAAATAGATATAGATATATATATATAGAGATAAATAGACATATAGATTTAAAGATACATAGATATAAAGATATATGTATATATACATATATAGAAATATAGATAGATATATACAGATATATAGATATATGGTGGTATATATATATATAGAGAGAGATTTAGAGATATGTATATAGATATATAGATATATAGATATATATACTGTATATATATATAGATATATATATATATAGATTTATAGATATATAGATATATATATATATATAGATATATATAGATAGATAGATAGATAGATAGATAGAAAGATAGATAGATTGATAGATAGATATATATATATATATGTATATATATGTATATAGATATATAGATATAGATATATATAGGGATATATAGAACTATATAGAGATATAGAGATATATATAGAGATATATAGAGATATAGATATATAGAGATATAGATATATAGATATATAGATAATTAAATAGATATATGATATATATATATATAGAGATATAGATATATAGATACAGCCATAGATGTAGATATAGATACAGATATAGATAGACATATATAGATATAGATACGTAGGTATAGATAGATATAGATAGATATAGATGGATATATGGATATAGATAGATAGATATAGATAGATTTAAATAGAAATAGATAGATACAGATAGAGATAGATCTTCCTTCCTTCCTTCCTTCCTTCCTTCCTTCCTTCCTCCCCTTTCCTTCCTTTCCTTCCTTTCCTTTTCTTTCCTTTTCCTTTCCTTCTCTCCTACTAGTTGCTATTGTTTTTAGACCGATTTTTTTTTTTATCCGGATTTTTTTTTCTTGATCCGGATTTTTTTTTTAACCCCTCCCCCCCATCTGACACCCTCCCGGACCCTCCCGTCCTTGGCAGCTAGGATCTGTAAATTGTTGACAGGTGGCTCGTAGTCGATAGTCACTTGGTCGACCACCACAGAGCTTGGGACACTTGGCTGGGTGCTGAGCAACGAACTGGACGACTGGAGGTGGATCCCGGAGAGGCGTACCTTCTCCTTCGGGTCCTTTGGGCAGGCTGCAAGGGATAGAAGACCTGAGCTAAAACGACCACTGGCGTTGAGGACTGCATCTGCTGCGACATGGAAGGTGCTGTTTGAGCAACTTCTGGAGCATCCCCTGTTTTGGAGCTCCACCCCATGGCCGCTGATGACATCCTCAAAAAGAACGCGTGACCGATCTCTTAGGTGGAGGCAACTTGCTGCCAGCACGCTGGAATTCTCACGACCTTGCGCCTGTTTCACCACCAAGTTGGACTGAGACGAAAGGAGCACTTGGCCTTCTACGCGACCTCCCGACCCTGATCCCACTGCAGTGGAGTTGCCAATGGAGATCGAACTTCTGTGCAAAGTCAAACCAAGCACAGAAAAAGCACCACCATCTGACACTGTATGGGTGCTGAGCATGGCCACTGCAGATGCGTTGACATATGCTACTCCTTCTGCACAAAACCCTGCACCAAGCAGACGGGCCCTGGCATTTTGGATGCTGACTGTGGAATGACTGATAAATGTCCTACCTTTAGCCAAAAATCCTCCTCCATCTCCAGCGGCCGTCGCATTCCGAAGGATGACTCTTGAGCCGCTGGACACGTTCAATCCGCTTCCTGTGTAAAAACCTCCCCCATCTCCTGTTCCAGCATGGCTGTTGGAAATGTTCACGGTTGAGTTCCCAGCAATCTCAACCCCATCAAAGGCCAGGAAACCTCCTGCATTCCTTCCAGTGGTCACATTCTGAAGGCTGACAAGTGAGCTGTCGGTCACCTGCAACCACTTTTCAGTTGCGAAACCTCCACCGTTTCCTTTAGATCTTGAATGGGAAATGCGGACACAGGACATTCTATCGATTACAACTTTGTCACCAGCATAAAATCCTCCACCATATTGCCGAGACGTGGCATGTTGAATGCTGACTGTGGACATGCTGATTATCAAAGTCCTGCCGTATGCAACGAATCCGCCCCCAGACTGTCCAGCTGTCGCATTCAAAAGGATGAGTCTTGAGCCAAAGGACACCTTCACATCCTGACCGACAAAACCTCCACCCTTTCCTGATTCAGCATGGCTGTTGGAAATGTTTATAGTTGAGTTCCCAGCTATCTCCAGCTTTCCAAGGGCAACAAAACCTCCTCCATTGCTTCCAGTGGTCACATTCTGAAGGCTGAGAACTGAGCTGTTGGTCACCTGCAACCACTTGTCAGTTGCTAGACCACCACCATGTTCTGCTCTTGAATGGTAAATGCGGACACTTGACATCCCATCAATTACAACTTCGTGGTCAGCAAAAAAACCTCCACCATATTGCCGAGACGTGGCATGTTGAATGCTGACTGTGGACATGCTGATTATCCAAGTCCTGCCGTGTGCAACGAATCCGCCCCCAGACTGTCCAGCTGTCGCATTCCAAAGGATAAGTCTTGAGCCAGAGGACACCTTCACATCCTGACCGACAAAACCTCCACCCTTTCCTGATTCAGCATGGCCGTTGGAAATGTTTACAGTTGAGTTCCCAGCTATCTCCACCTCTCTTTGGGCAACAAAACCTCCTCCATTGCTTCCAGTGGTTACATTCTGAAGAATGAGAACTGCGTTGTTGCTCACCTGCAACCGTTTCGCTGTTGCGACGCCTCCACCGTTTCCTTCAGATCTTGCATCGGAAATGTGGACACTTGACATCCTATCGATTACAACATCGTCACCAGCATAAAACCCTCCACCAGCTCCACCATATTGCCGAGACGTGGCATGTTGAATGCTGACTGTGGACATGCTGATTATCAAAGTCCTGCCGTTTGCAACGAATCCGCCCCCAGACAGTCCAGCTGTCGCATTGCAAAGGATGAGTCTTGAGCCAGAGGACACCTTCACATCCTGACCGACAAAACCTCCACCCTTTCCTGATTCAGCATGGCTGTTGGAAATGTTTACAGTTGAGTTCCCAGCTATCTCCACCTCTCTTTGGGCAACAAAACCTCCTCCACTCCCTCCAGTGGTCACATTCTGAAGGCTGAGAACTGAGCTGTTGGTCACCTGCAACCGTTTCCCCGTTCCGAAGCCTCCACCGTTTCCTTCAGATCTTGCATCGGAAATGCGAACACTTGACATCCCATCGGTTACAACTTCGTCACCAGCCCGAAACCCTCCACCTATTTGCCGAGACGTGACATGTTGAATGCTGACTGTGGACCTGCTGATGATGAATGTCCTGCCGTATGCAGCGAATCCGCCCCCAGACTGTCCAGCTGTCGCATTCCAAAGGATAAGTCTTGAGCCAGAGGACACCTTCACATCCTGACCGACAAAACCTCCACCCTTTCCTGATTCAGCATGGCTGTTGGAAATGTTTACAGTCGAGTTCCTAGCGATCTCAACCTCTTCAAGAGCAACAAAACCTCCTCCACTCTCTCCAGTGGTCACATTCTGAAGGCTGAGAAGTGAGCTGTTGGTCACCCGCAACCACTTGTCAGTTACGAAACCTCCACCTGTTTTTTCAGATCTTGAATCGGAAATGCGGACAGTGGACATCTCATCAATGACCACTTCCTTTTGGGAATAGAATCCTGCACCATACAGCCAGGCCCTGGCATTTTGGATGCTGACTGTGGAATGACTGATAAATGTCCTGCCTCTGGCAAAAAATCCTCCTCCAGACAATCCAGCCGTCGCATTCCGAAGGATGACTCTTGAGCCGCTGGACACGTTCAAATCCTTCTCTGCATAAAAACCACCCCCACTTGTTTCAGCGTGGCTGTTGGAAATGTTCATGGTTGAGTTCCCAGCGATCTCAACCCCATCAACAGCAACAAAACCTCCTCCACTCTCTCCAGTGGTCACATTCTGAAGGCTGAGAAGTGAGCTGTTGGTCACCTGCAACCACTTGTCAGTTGCGAAACCTCCACCTAGAAATGTAGATCTTGAATCGGAAATGCGGACACTGGACATCTCATCAATGACCACTTCCTTATGGGAATAGAATCCTGCACCAAGCAGACGGGCCCTGGCATTTTGGATGCTGACTGTGGAATGACTGATAAATGTCCTACCTTTAGCCAAAAATCCTCCTCCATCTCCAGCGGCCGTCGCATTCCGAAGGATGACTCTTGAGCCGCTGGACACGTTCAATCCGCTTCCCGTGTGAAAACCGCCCCCATATCCTGTTTCAGCATGGCTGTTGGAAATGTTGATGGTTGAGTTTCCAGCAATCTCAACCTCTTCAAGAGCAATGAAACCTCCTCCATAGCTTCCAGCGGTCACGTTCTGAAGGCTGACAACTGAGCTGTGGGTCACCTGCAAACGTCCGCCTGTTTGGAAGGCTCCACCGTTCTTGCTGCATCTGGTGTTCTGGATGAGGATCCTGGAATTGTCCTTACCCATTCAAGGGCACAAAGACCAGTTGAGGAACCAAATCTTCAAAACAAAACATGTGTTATGTGTCTTAATTAATTAACATAATACAGTAGCCCTGAGAGTCAGCAAACCACCCCTTAAATGAATATTAGGAAAGACTGACACTGCTGGCATCCGTTTAAGCACACCTCCCCAGTACAAGGAATGCACTGAGTGCCCCACAGAAATGTCGATATTTCCCGCAGAGAAACCAGCGCCGTACATCGCTGCAACGTTTTCGATCACAACTTCCGAGTGGCGGACGCTCCTTGGAGACTTGGTGAAAGATGGTGAAAGATGGTGAATACCAGAACGAAAAGCCATCATAATTGTCACAGAGAAGTCAACGGCACGGAGAATCGCAGTATGCCAAAAACGTCAATCATGGTCTTGGCGAAGTTACCAACAATCACTTACACCTTAATTTCTATGTTCTTGGCCTGCTCCTTGGCCAGCCACAAGCCTTAAGGGTCTCCCAGTTTTGCACCTTGGACCACTACTGGACGTTCCAACCCATATCTTATAAAATGTTTGCCTTTGCTTCTTCAAAAGAGATTGAAGCAAAGTATCATAAATGGGTAGATGCTGGAGACAAAAACAATTTTCCAGCCATTCATGCTTATATTTCATGTAAATATCCAAAACACTTGCTCAAAACCAGCTTCTCTGGCAGAATCAATGTTCCCATAACCGGAAGATACTATATTAACTACACATGTCAATGTGTTGATCAAAAAAAGGTATCTGGGGCAGCTTCAATCGACGATCAACAAAAACAGTGTCAATCCGGGGGAAGAATCTGTCGTATCTGACACTATTTTTTGTGCAAAGAATCGTCAAATCATGGCTTATATTATCACAGAATGATAAATTATTAACATATATTAACATATTGCAAAAGCCATAAATTTAACTCATTTTTTTGGTCAAACGGCCTTGACCATTTTTTGGGGGTCATTACGGCTTTGATCGTCAGGAGCCACTTGCGTGAGAGTTGCTACGGCTTTTTGTGGCCTTTTTTTCAACAAAATGTCGAAAAAATACGGTTTTGCTACGGGGGGCTTGTGTGAGAGCTGTCACGTTAAAATACGCTTTTGCTACGGGTAGGACAGCAATGTTCTTTTGATTTGACAATTTTTTTGGTCATTACGGGTAAAAGCAATAGTTTACCACAAAAAAATGATCATTGCGGCTTTTTCCCATAATGACCAGAAAAAATTGTGTTTTTGGCTTTCCAGGATATTACACGGTGTGAGCCAGGGCCTACTCGGGTGGGTTGAACAATCGCGGATCAACCGCGAACCAATCGCGGATTCTATCGACACATGTTTTGAAAACTGAATTGACCCGGTTGGGTAGGCTTTGAACTTTGTTGTTCTGATTCTTCTTTGCTATCGGCTATCACTATTAAGAACACAGTTTGCAAACAAACCGTCCGAGAACAACTATATCATGCCATATCATACTGATTTCTCCTCTCACAATCGTTGATTCTCATACAACAAATGGTTGCCTCAACCGCGAACCAATCGCCGATCAATGCCCTTTCGTAATTTTTAGACCTGCAAATACGATCGGCTCCCATACATACTGCATATATCATGGCAACCCATGGTAACCCCCAGTAAATGGGCCCAGTTGAGTTGGATTGTCTGGATCACAACGACATCCAACGACATCCAACGACATCCAACGACCAAAAACTGCCACCTAGGGTCAGGTCTCCATCAGCTGCGAAGCCACCACCACTCATTGTAGTAGCTCCAGCATCTCTCACCTTCGATGTTGACATCCCAACTTTGTGCCCACTGGTGCAGTTTCAAGAATTCATTTCCGAGATGACACTTTTTCGCTCAGCAAAATCCTGAATATTCCTGAATTTGGAAACAATCCAAGTAGCTGTTAAGCGGGATCTGGTCAAAGTGAATGACCCCTTGCTGTAAAAGGCGCCACCAGGTGCGGTAGAGTTTGGCGATGGAGCTCCATGCCACGCTTCCACGTGAGCATCTGCAAGCAAAACACTCCTCGAATTCTGAAGGCCAGATTTCTGGTACAATCAATCCGAAGTCCTTTGCCATTCTAGGAGTGTCTTTATGGCAGTTTTCTATAAGAAAATCATAGTCAGTTTAAAAACACCACATAAGGTTTTGAATTTGCCGTGTAATGTCGGATAATGTTGGATCCTGATTTTGTCCTATCTAAGAAACAGTGTCTTGAAACTCAACTTTTTGTTTGAGGGGGGTACACACGAATTAATCAGGACGGAACATTGCAGCCGATAGTGCAGGCAGGGTTCTTGGCTACCAGACGGAGCGAAATCATCTGAAATTGCCTGCCAATTCTGCCAATATGGATGTTGACCCCCCTCCTGCGCAGAATCATCTTACTGGTGCTAAACGCAGGGAATTTTCGGGAATGATCCACAATAACAATCAATAACATACAATAACTATCAATAATCATCCCAGCAACCCCCAGCAACCCATCCATTCCCTACGTAAAACGCACCAGTAAGTCATCAAACGACTCCAACCCGATTTCCTCCAAGGCACCCGGTGATGCGCAGCTCCCCGGAGCTCAAGGTCAGAATCCCGGCAGCGGCTCCAGCGGCTGGGCGCAGCTGCACGGGTGCCCCATGCGACTGCAGCTCGCAGAACGGCGCTTCCACGCTGGGCCTTGGTTTTGGATCCCATGACGGATCCGGCTGGTGCTGGTAGAAAAATGCTAACATAAAGGGGGTATATTGATGGGATCCATGGCACACCATATATAGCAGCACCATGGATCCTATGGGGATGGTTTTGGGCTCTGAAGTTTCTGGCTTTGAGATGGTTTGAGGGATGTTTTAAATATACCGATTTACAGGAAAAAAAGGGGTCAAGGTTCAGTTTCAGAAGGCATCTGAAGAATGGAAAAGGAGCGCAACTGATAACATCTGATAACTGATAACTCTGAAATTGCAGGATTCAAACGCCGCATGTCTTCACCAAGACCATCAAAGACAGGGCATCTGATGTTCAGTGCAGTACTCCCTATACATGTCAAAACTCAAAACAACCTTCGCCTAAGAAGCCCCTTTATCTAACCTGCAACGCAACCACCGCATTCTTCAGACCACCCCCTGTGACCGAGCCACTTGAGTTGAAAACACGACCCGACCGTCAACTTTTTCCGTTCACAAAGTTCGGCCCAGCGAATAACCTCACAGTCCTTCAAGCAGGGAATACCAGGGACTGCACAACTCGGTGATGTGTATCCGCTTGGAATATACCGGAACATAACAAATCCCGACATTTTGGTGTTGGAAATTCCAATGAATTTAAATAAATAATGAAAATATATGAAAATAATGGAAAACTATTTGAAGACAAAACACCGTTTTTTCCCTAAGCCCCAAGGCCCACCTGCAAATGTCTGGCACCCGCTCCAGTTGTCGCTTCGGGCACGGGGTGATTACCTTCCAGTACCGCAGAGCGGAAGAAAAACGATTCATGCAAAGGGCAAAGAGCAACAGAACACATCATAGATGTCTGTTGTAGCTTCCCAAGTAAGTAATTATGTGAGTAAAACATGGTAAAACAATAATTTTTACCAGCCCCCAAATCACCAATTTATAGGTGATACTACGAACATACAAAACCATTCCCAAATGGCTGGTTTATGGCATTGTTTTCCCAGCCGAGGCCGGCATCTGGCGCAGCCGAGGTGCCGTGTCCGAACGTGCTCCGCGAAGCGAAGCGTAGCTCAGCCAAGGCAGAAACCAAGAGAAAAGCGAAGAGCAGCTGCATCATGCGCCGAATCGATGGGGTAACTGGGGTATCTATCACGCATCAATGACCATCTCATGACCGTTGAACAGTTTAAGGGTGAAGGCCATCAAGCATCATCACTGTTTGGCGTGTGCTGCCGTTGTGCTCACCGTATCTCACCGGACATGTCATGGATGGTGTCCATGCTCATCTGGCTGATTCAGCTGGTGTAGCTTTCTATCAAAACATTCAGGCCAGGGGGGTAAAGCATGCAGGCAAACGTTGCGATTTACTAGCAATGGTTTGTACAGTTGTCCAGAAGTTCTTGAGCAGAGTGCTACTAAACTCTTAAAGTTTCAAAACTTTGAGCCGCGAGTGGCATCCACATCCACCTGTCAACCACAACAGCCATTGAAACATCGTTCTTTACATCCCTGCATGGTGGCATGGTCGGCCCTTGCGGCTTGCACAACTGGAGTGCAAGCCGGACTGAAAATGAATGGCTAATAGTACCTTCAATGGCTGCATTACTTCACTTCTATTCTGGGGATATAATGGGGATATGGTTACAACTCACCAACTATCATCAACTACTCTCCGGTATGGATGTGTCTGAAAAATGGTCGATATAGAGTCCGATATATAAAATATTAAGAGTCCGATATATAAAATAGTATGATTCAATATATTATGGCTGGTTACTTCACTAGAGAAATTGATGACAGTCACATTGTAATGAATTATAATGATTCATTGGATGGAAATGATGTCTCACATTTTTCAAACAAACCCATATGTGGTTCACTCTGCCATGCTCAACTCTGCCATGCCTCTTGACAAGCTTCAAACAACCTCGATCTTTGCATTTTGATGCATTTTGGACAATTAGATCGGGCTGGTTATTGCGTTGGTCCGGACCTGCATCGCTCCAGTATGCCATGGGTCTACATTGATGGCGCGGTATTTTTCACACTTGGGGACTTCGGGTCAATGAAATTCATTGAAATTCATTGATCAGAAGTTAGAAGGGAAAAGACACTTCTGTGACATCTTCTGACTGACTGTGCTTACTAATCTAAGCCATAAACCTAATCTAAGCCATGCGTTCCACATTGCACTGTTACTGGTGCACCATGTCTCAGCATGTCTCAGCATGCCTCAGCTTCGATCAAACAGCTGAGGGTCAGGGCGGCTGAAACACCAAGCATATCCAAGCATCCATGGACACGTCGTGAATCAAAAGCCCACTCAGAATAATGCTTGGCGATTCGAAGTTATACCCTGGCATATATCAATCAAGTAATATCAAATACTACATCTGGTAATCCTCGCATGATCACATTTAAGTGAAATCTGTGAAGCCTTTCTGAATCAGGCCAAGATCATCCAGGGATTCCGCCCAATTTCTGCGTTGGCGCGTTGTGTTTCGTCCCCTTTGATCCCCGGTGTCAGAAACGGTCCATGGCATCTCAAAGTGCCAAGCTAAGTAAATCAAAGTACCAAGGGGCTGTGTCTGAAAATGTGGATCAACCCCATAAAATGATATAAAATTGTCATTTTAGGGGAACAGAGTTTGAAAATGATGAGTTGGGGGTGCCCTATGTTCAGACCTTGTCCCCAAGTACTGTCTAGCATCAGGCCAAGCTCCTCAATGCCAGCCCCAGGATCTTATAGAGATTCACGGAGCACCAAACAACTGACGTGCGTAAAGCCAGCAAATCACATGACACGATTCAAAAGCATTCAAGGTCTTTCAAATTTGGAGCCCTGTAAGAGCGTGACAGGAAGGCCATGTAAGATCTAATATTGATCTAATCCAGGCTAAACTTGATAGACTCTAGTTTTGGTCCGAATTCATTCGACTTCATCTTTGCAATGCTGCTTTCGACGGGTTCTGAAGCCTGGCTATCAAATTGCGAAACCAAAGGTTAGGGTTCCAGGTTAGGTCCTCACCGACCATGCCATAAACTTCATTCGGGCTGGAAGATCAGCCTAGCGTGTTTTATCAGCCTGAACAACAATGGTTCGGGCAAAAAATCAGCCTGAGGTCGGAATCTTGAATTTAGATGAATTTAGGCAATTGTAGCACTCTTTGGCAACATAAACACGCGTTGCAATTTGAGGGGGTCAAAAGGTGTGAAGTGTGGCTGATACAACCTGCAACATGATCCAGAGCTTGCTGTTCGGGTCCGGCGGGGAACACTGCGATCTAGTCTAGCGCTTGCAGTTGGGGTCCGGCGGAGGAGGCGGAGGAGGAGGCGGCGGGACAGCTGACATAAAATCTAACAACCCTCACCTGACAGGTGGGGAAAAGAGACCCAACTGATAAGCCAACTGAGAATACAACAGTGTTGCATTTATTCAATGTTTTCCCCGTACACCTCAAGCATGTCAAAGCCAGCCTTGGATGCTGCTCTTCCGGCGATCTCAGGGCTCTTCGGGGACATCCCTGAGGACAACCCACCAGGATCTGGCTGGGTGAGCTCGTGAAGATTATCGAATCCGAAAATGTGTTGCGGGGTGACTTTGAACGCAGCATGGGACATAGCTGACATAGCTATCTACAAACAGTTGTAGAACACAGAAACAAGGTGGGCCAGAGAACCCAAAAGCAAGACGGCGCACAGCACGCCTTTTCTTGAAAATCTTGGGGTGTGGCCAGCTGTGCTCTGCACGAAATCGACGTAAGATCTTTACTTAAACATCGTGCGCACTGATGGTATCAGGGGCCACGATTCACCACAGCATGCTGTGTCAGCTACGCCTACAGTCTTCTAGTCGCTATTTCTGTTAATGTAATTAACTCTATCCCATCTGTCTAGTCGCTATCTATTTCTGCGTTCTCGTTTAGTTTGCTTCGCCGCAGAGGGAGCGAGCACGAAGCGTGGACGGACAGAACGAAATGAAAATTAAACGACAGAGGGAGCTGACCATAAGAGCATGAAAACGAAGATATATATATGAAGGTGACAGATGGCAAATGATCATGAAAAATGAGACATGATAAAAGATGGGTAAAGACTTCTCTGTACAAAAGCTTCTTTGCATAAAAGCTTCTGCAAGTAAAAGCTTCTGTGGGCAAGAACTTCTCTGTGTAAAGGTTTTTGGTGTAAAAGCTCTTGTGTGTAAAATCTTCTGTGTAAAACGCGCTCTGTGTGTAAAAGTTTCTGTTTGCGAAAGTTTCTTTGCGTACCAGCTTCTGTCTGTAAAAGCTCCTCTGTGTTAAGGTTTTGTTTGTGTAAAGCTTCTGTGTGCAAAAACTTCTCTGTGTAAAAGACTTCTCTGTGTCAAAGCCTCTGAGTGTACAAGCTTCTCTGTGTAAAAGTTCCTCTGTGTAAAAGCTCCTCTGTGAAAAAGCCGCTCTGTGTAAAAGGCTTCTGTGTGTAAAAGCCTCTGTGTGTGCAAGCTTCTCTGTGTCAAGACTTCTTTGTGTAAAGATTTCTCTGTGTAAAAACTACTCTGTGTAAACGCTTCCGTGTAAACTCTTTCCTGTGTAAACGCCTCCGTGTGTAAAGACTTCTCTGTGTAAACCCGTCTGTGTGTAAAAGCTCCTTTGTTTAAAGTTTTTTTTGTGTTAAAAGCTTCTGTGTGTAAAACCTTCTGTGTGTAAAAGTTTCTGTGTGTAAAAGCTTCTGTGTGTAAAGGTTTCTGTGTGTAAAAGCTTCTGTGTATTAAAAAAACCTTATGTAAAAGCTTCTGTGTAAAAAAGCCCCCCGTGTGTACAAGCTTCGCTGCGTAAAAGCTGCTCTGTGTAAAAAATCTGTGCGCCGTAAAGTTGTCTGTTTGTAAAACCTCCTGTGTGTGTGTGAAAGCGTCTGTGTGTACAAGATTCTGTGTGCAAAAGCTCCTCTGTGCAAAGACTTCTCTGTGTACAAAGCTTCTGTGTGTGAAAGTTTCTGTGTGTAAAAGCTTTCCTGTGTAAAAGTTTTCTTGTGCAAAAGCTCCTGTGTGAAAAACTTCTCTGTGTAAAGGCTTTTTTGTGTAAAAGCTTCTGTGTGTACAAGCTGCTCTGTGTTAAAGTTTCTGTGCGCCGAAAGAACGTCTATCTGTAACACCTTCTGCGTGTAAATCTCGTTTGTGTAAGGACTTCTCTCGTAAAAGCTCCTCTGTGTCAAGACTTCTTTGTGCGAAAGGCTTCTCTCTGTAAAAGCCTTTGTGTGTACAGGCTTCTCTGTCTCAAGACTTCTCTGTGTAAAGGCTTCTGTGTGTAAAAGCTACTCTGTGCAAAAAAGCTTCTGTGCGTAAAGGCTTCTGTGTCAAGACTCCTCTGTGTCTCTGTAAACGCGTCTGTGTGTCAAAGTTTCTGTGTAAAGGCTTTTTTTGTGTAAAAGCTTCTCTGTGCATGTCCCATTTTTCAGCCTTTGCAAACCGTTTGACCGGTCTTGGGACCATTTGACCAGTCTTGGGTCCACAATTTTTTCAAGCCAATCGCAATGATGGCATTTGTCCTGAAAAAAACCGTGCCAACAGCTCTGCCGCAAACTATTTTCAAGGTTTCCTATCCGTCCAGCATGTTGTCTCGCTCCCTCCAGCGAAGCTCTCCGCAAGCTATTTCCACGGTTTTGTCCCGTCCAGCATGCTGTCTCGCTCCCTCCCAGCAAGGCTCTCCGCAAGCTATTTCCACGTTTTCCTCTCCGTCCAGCACGCTGTCTCGCTCCCTTCCAGCGAAGCTCTCCGCTAGCTATTTGCACGGTTTCCTGTCCATCCAGCATGCTGTCTCCCTCCCTCCCAGCGACGCTCTCCGCAACCTATTTGCACGGTTTCCTCTCCGTCCAGCACGCTGTCTCGCTCCCGCCCAGCGAAGCTCTCCGCAAGCTATTTGCACGGTTTCCTCTCCGTCCAGCATGCTATCTCGCTTCCTCCCGGCGAAGCTCTCCGCAACCTTATTTGCACGGTTTCCTCTCCGTCCAGCATGCTGTCTCGCTCCCTCCCAGCGAAGCTCTCCTTAACCTATTTCCACGGTTTCCTCTCCGTCCAGGATGCTGTCTCGCTCCCTCCCAGCAAAGCTTTCCGCAAACTATTTGCACGGTTTTC